TGCAAAAGAGGAATTTCAAAGAGAACAGAGGATTTCTTAAATAGGTAAGTTTGACTTGGCAAGAGAAGAATTCTAAGAGGAAAGGGGATTCTTAATAGGCAAGTTTTGACTTATAGGAGAAGAATTCTAAGAGGATAGGGATTCTTAATGGGCAAGTTGTGTATGGTTATAAATAGGTGAATCTTACAGGGTTAGGTATGAAAAAAAGATGTAAAGAGAGTTGTAAGGTTTTGTGAGATAGACACCCCATAGGAGTATTGAGGTTCTACGTCCTTATGGGTGTGTATGTTTGTTTGTGAGGTGGACTTAGAGGAGATTGACGAGGGTCCACATAGGTCTGGTGTATTAGGAGCATATGGGTATGTGTTTGGTTATGTTGAAAGGGTGCACAAGAGTGTGATTTGTGTTTGTTTAGGTTGAGAATACTCCATAGGACTAGAGGAGATTGAGAGTGTCTTATGAGTATTGATTGTTGAGTGAGATTGATGATTTGATATATGTTTGTAATTCTCTACAACTGTGGATCTTGTTTCTCATCTGTGGATGTAGGTCAGTTGGACCGAACCACGTTAAATTATTGTCTCTTGTGTGTTTGATTTATTGTTTGATTTCACTTTCGCTGGTGTGATTGGATTGGAGGCTTTTTAGCCCAACAAATGGTATCAGAGCTGTGGTGTTCCTCAACAAGTGGTATCAGAGCTAAAGGTTTGGGAAGTGCATGGTTTGAGACATGAGAAGAAGCAAGTCTAGAAGAGCTCGATTCGAGAGAAAAATTCGAGTTTAAGTTTTGAAGATTGAGGATTGGTTTGTATGAAGCGTGAAGACACAAGAGAAGAGAAGATGATTGTAAGACTTTCATTGCAGGTGAAGCCAAGCATGTCTAGCATGAAAACAGATGATTGATGGAATTTAAGTCAAGGTAGAGATTGTTGAGAATATTGACTCAAATCCTATAAGAGATTTGTTTGAGATTTGTTAGAGATTTATTTGAGATTTGTCAGATATTGCTTGATGGACAAGAAGACTTGCAAAAGAAGAATTTCAAGAGAAAAAAGATTCTTAATAGATAAGTTTGACTTGCAAAGAATTCTAAGAAGAAAGGGATTCTTAATAGGCAAGTTTGTATGGTTATAAATAGGTGAAGTCTTTACAGGGTTAGGTATGAGAAAAAGATGTAAGAGAGTTGTAAGGTTTTGTGGGATAGACACCCCATAGGAGTATTGAGGTTCTACGTCTTATGGGTGTGTATGTTTGTTTGTGAGTGGACTAGAGGAGATTGAGAGGGTCCACATAGGTATGGTGTATAGGAGCATATGGGTATGTGTTTGGTTATGTTGAAAGGGTGCACAAGAGTTTGAGTTTGTGTTTGTTTGAGTTGAGAATACTCCATAGGACTAGAGGAGATTGAGAGTGTCTTATGAGTATTAATTATTGAGTGAGGTTAATGATTTGATGTATGTTTGTAATTCTCTACAACTAGTGGATCTTGTTTCTCATCTGTGGATGTAGGTCAGTTGACGAACCCGTTAAATTTTGTCTCTTTGTTTGATATTGTTATTTCGTTGCTGGTGTGATTAAAACTTTACCACGTGAGGTGGAGAAGCGGTGAAGCACCAATTAGGAAACTAGATTTCACAAGTTCAAAAGTTACACTAAAATTTTTGGTTCAACAGAATATTTCTTTCAGCTGTTTTTCTCTTGAATCCTTTGTTTTGCAGCTGCAGAAGATGTAATGAAGTCTTCTCATAGTGATTTGAGAGGATATAAAAAAGAACTGAATCTGTCTGCTAGACAACATTTCTCAACAGATTCGGATTTGAGGAATGCAATTGCAAGTTGCAACACCTATTATACTTTAGTAGCTTCCATTACGCATTGAATTTTAAGAATCTCAATAATAAAAGAATGAAACCAAATTTCAGTCCCAATATAAGGACTGCATCACTCACTGCATCTTGTGCACACTCCAGTTCATACACTTTTCAAAGTGAAAGAAAACCAGAAGGAATAACTGGACATTAAATCCTCTGTAAAAAAACCAATTCAGGAACTACTAAAGCTAGTAGCAATTGGAATGACAATCACAAGAACGATCAGCAACAGAAGAATGATCCCAATGCACATCCACTTCCAGCTGCTCCTCTGGTACTGTTTTGCAGTGTTGAGCTCTTTGGAACCATCCTTCACATAATGGCTAGCATTCATCACATGATGTTCAATATCATCCATTTGTTCCCCTTGTGCCTCGACCATCACTGCCATGTCCAAAAACACCTGGTGCAGCTCCAACAAACTCTTCTCAATCTCTTTAGCAGCGTCACGCCTGTCCTGAATCTCAACCACTGTCTCCAACACCTTCCCTCGCCCATGCTCTTGTACTGCACGTGTTAAGAACTCCTCGCCCCCATTACCATCAGAAATTATCTTCTCAATGATCTCCTCATCTGGGTTCTCTCCAGTCACTGTAAAATACCTTCTCCCCACAGTTTCCTTATACTCGGTCATCATCTTCTGCCTCAAGCCTTGAAAATCCATCATGAGCTCCTTCAACTTATTACGCAACCCATTGGTGACAGCAATCCTAGTCCTGTAAGCTAGGGTGCCTTCTTTGCACCCTGAGAGGCGCTTATTAGCTGCATTGGCATGGTCCATTTCTTCAAGCTGTGCCTTGATGGTCCTGGCCTTCTTTTGCACAGTGACAATGTCATTGTTGATTTTGTCCCGCAAAGCCTTCAAGGACTCACGTTTGTGAAGTGACTTGCTTTCTTCATTGGATTCTTGGAGTTTGCCCAAGAGTTCACGGATTACTGCCATCTCTTGCTTCACTTTTTCAGCTTCTTCAAGGAACAGACCAAGGTTTTGGTCCATGGTGTTTGCTGTAGAGGACATTTCTAGGTCATAGTCAGGTCCAGCTTCAAGATCTTTCATCGCCTCTTTCTTGAGGTCTACATAGCTCATAAAGGATTTGGTCATCAGATCATTCATCTTAGCTCTCTGAAACTTTCCTTCAAACCTAAAGAACCAACCAAAGGAGACAAAAATTCCCATCAATCAGATATATACATGAAATAGTTATTACATTCATGGAAATGAACCCCCCAAAAAATGGTTAGCTTCTCTTTTACTAAATTAAAAAAAAAAAAAAAAAAACGAACTGCTATGAAATGGATGTTGCATACCTTGAAGTTAGCAGCTGCTTGCTCTAGTATTAGCAGACAAAGAGAAAGAGAAATGGAAAGAATTTGATTAATGAGACTTTGAAGATGAAAATTGGAAAGAAATCTGAGATCTCAGGTGTTTGAATTTGATTGTAAGCTTAGGGATAGTATTTAAAAGTAGGGGGAAATCTCTTAGAAAAGAAAAGGGCAAAAAAAAAAAGTAGCCGTTACAGCTTTGAGCTCTAATGTTCCAACGGCTATATTTTGAATGCCTGTTTTTTAATTTTTTTTTTTTTTTTGGGTTTTAAGTAAATTTCTAAATTCTTGGTTTCTGGTGACCGTATAAGCAAATATGGGGCAAAAAAACCTATTTATACTCTTTTGATTTGTTAAAAATGATTTTTGAAAAATAATTTTTATAATTTTAGATATTTGTTTGATAAAAAATTGATTGATCAATAAAAAATAATTTATTGATCAACGAAAAAAAAAAGTTAATTTTTTAAAAAATATCTTACAAATTTACAAAAGAAAAATATTTTTCAAAAAAAAATTTTGAGTAAAATTATTTATTAATATTCTTAAATATAATTTTATTTATAAATATTATTATATTAATAAATAATATATTATGAATAAATTCTATACTACTAATATAGTATATTAATAAATAATAAATTATCAATAAATAATATACTATTAATATAATATATTAATAAATAATATTATATTAATAAATAATATTTAATATTTTAATAAAATAATATATTGAATAATAAAGAGTTTTATTTTAAATATTTTTATATTAACATAATATTTTAATATTAAAATATAATTATTTTTTAATATTAATAAATTTAACAATAAATAATTTTAACATACTTTAATAATAAATAATTTTTCATATTTTAATAATTATATTAATATTATTTGAAAAAAAAATTTATAAAATAATTAAATAACGAAAAACATTTTTTGTTAACTAATTCAAATAATAAAAAAAATTTTAATTCAAAAAATATAAATATTTTTAAAAATTATTTTTTACAAAACAAATAGAGCCTTATTGTTAATAACAAATTTAGCGTACTATGATTCAAATTTTTTACTTCGAAATTAGACATGTAATTTTGTATATTTATGTAGTATAAAATATTGATACTATATGTATTGGTATTGTATTTTATAGACAACAAAAATTATATATTATAATTTATGTTGATATAAAAAACACGAAATAATTTTTTTTATTTTCATTAAATTTATATATAATATTTATTAAAATTTTAATTTATGATATTTATGTATTTTAATTATTTTTAATATTATATTATCATGTCATATTTTAAATTATTATATTTATTTTAAATTATAATAAACTGCTAAAATCGAATATTAAAAAAAGTAAACTTTTGAGACACTTCAACAATTAGAAAACTCTTAGTCTTGATTAGAATTTTATAAATGAATTTTTAATTCTAGATTCAATTTTTTAGAAGAAATTTGAGATTGAAAAGAATTATTTCTTAACTAAAATTCAATAGAATTTTACATTAACCAAACTCTCAGCAAAATTTTGGCTGACATTTTTTTGTGAATTTAATTAATTGAATTAATATTTCAAAAATATCAATTTTTTAAGTCTTATCTGCTTTAAGTGAGATTCAGAAAAAAAAAAATTGAAAACATCTGCTGGCATTTAGCAAAAAATAAAAATTAAAACCAAAACCAAAATCCAAATCACAATCCCATTTCCATCTCAACTCTACTTCTCCCATTCCACACTTGAAAGCCTAAACCAATTTTTCTAGCGATAATTTTGCAACTTCTTAACAAATTTCTCTGAAAAAAAGAAACCCAGAAAAACAAACAAAAAACCTTTACAATGGGTCCAATAAAGATTGCCATGGGGGACATGGTGATTACTTTCATGTGGGTTTTTTTTTCATCAACGTTTGGTTTATTATCTTCTTTGATAGCCACCGCCATTGGTGTCCAAACTGTAGCTTGGGCTCCTATTGTTATCATCACCGTCATCGTTTTCGTTTTCGTTTTGATCTTTAATGTTATTGGTGAACTTCTTGGTGGGGCTAGCTTTAACCCTACTGGTACAGCTTCCTTCTATGCGGCTGGGGTCGGTGACGATAGCCTTATCTCCATGGCCCTTCGGTTCCCAGCTCAGGTTAAAAGAAATTTGTTATATTTTTTGTGTTTTTCTATGTAGGTTTTTGGCTTTTTGACGGAATTCTATTGGATTTGCCATGGATTTTCCTTTAGAAAAACAATCTATATATGTGTGTGTATGTGTGTGTTATGATGCATTACTGAAAATAAAAATGTCCTCACTGGCAGGCCGCTGGTGCGGTGGGCGGTGCCCTTGCGATCATGGAGGTGATGCCGGAAAAGTACAAGCACATGATAGAGGGACCATCTTTGAAAGTAGATACACACACTGGAGCCATTGCTGAGGGGGTCTTGACTTTTTTAATTACCTTGGCTGTTCTTTTAATCATTCTTAGAGGTCCACAGAATGAAATTTTCAAGACATGGTTGCTTGCTGTTGCGACTGTAGCATTAGTTATGTCCGGTACTGCTTACACCGGACCTTCCATGAATCCAGCCAATGTAAGTTCCCTTTTCCATTTCGATCTGTTGTTATGCTTTGATAATACTAAGGTTTGAATACTTTTTTGTCATTGTTTCCTTTCCGTACTATAAATTGTTACATGAGTTTATTCCTTTTTTGACGCACCTGAAGTACTAGGGATATGTCTGGCTTGCTTATTACTACTTCATTGGCTTGGATTCCTTGGAATATGATCGTACTCTGCCCCTTCCTCTTATTGTGATGCTTTTGTAATATTTGTTTGCATTGGACTGTCATGTATTATGCCTGATGGCCTGACCTAACTATTGTCAGTATTCACTTGGATATCTCGAAAACACTTCATTGCTTTGGACTGTCACATTAATCATGTATTCACTAGCTGTCAGTGGTCTGAAGTTTTGAAATATCTAAGATATCGGTGATACTTTGATGATGAATATAAGATGATTAAATAAATTAGGTTTAATAAATAAGTGCATTTAGGTATATTTTTGGATCTTAGAGTTTGCTTGTTAGAGGGCGAGCCTTGGAGCAATGGTAAGGTTGCTCCTTTGTGACCGAAAAGTCACGGGTCCGAATCTTGGACGCAACATCTTTGCAAAAAATGCAGAAGGAAGGCTGCGTGCTATGCACCTTCATCCCAACCCTCGCAGAGCAGGAAGTCTTGTGTACCGGGGTTCGCCTTTTTGAATCTTAAAGTTTGCCTGTTCTGAACATGTAATGGTGATTTAATCTTGAAAGCTAGTTTCTGTTAAGTCTCCTGCACCATAGCCTACCTTTTTGATAATTTGTGAAGGATCAGGGAGGATTTAAAGCACTGTTTTGTATTTAGACTTAAGCTTCTGCTATTTTCCCAATCACAGTGATTTAAAGTCCTTATAACATTGTTATTCGGTGTAAGTACGATGATTAATGCGTGCGAATCTATTGGATGCAATTGCATGATCTGGTTCGATTTACATGTAAGCAAAAAGCTTAGACTCTTTTTGTTGCTTTCTTTCATGTTCTTTAACATTTTCTTTCTTGTTGCTTCTTTTCCATGAGTCCTGATTACATTTCCTATTCAATAAAGTTATTCTCTAATGTAATTATATATCCAATTAAGTATTAGTTTGCTGACTTATCATTGATTCTTTAATTTTATAAGTTTATAATCGATCTTTTCCTACTTTTTACTGGCGAAGACATCATTTGAAAGCCTAAATAATTGCATTACGAATGGTGAATCATATTGCAGGCCTTTGGTTGGGCATATGTAAACAACTGGCACAACACATGGGATCAGTTTTATGTGTATTGGATCTGTCCATTCATTGGAGCTATATTGGCTGCGTGGGTCTTCCGACTGTTGTTCCCCCCACCACCAGTAAAGGTGAAGAAAGCCTAAGGTGGCTTAATAAGAGGTTCGGGTCGCCATCAACAACGGTAGATAAGCTCAATGTTTATGTAATAAGCGGTTCTTTTTACAACTTTTGCTAGTTGATGATCAATAGATTGAAACATTCTTTCTGTTTAATACCTTTTCATGCATTCTCTTGTTTTGTTGGCTGCCAATGGTGTGCAAATATTATCAATCCTCATTTCTTTTAATGTTTAGTAATCCAGGAGAACTTTTCCTAGATGAGCAATCCTATGTCGCTTAGACTCCTTAATTTTCTGAAAAAAATACTCACCCTGGACGCAAATCTATCCCGAAGATTTTGGAAAAACTTAAAAATACTCGAATTGAATGCATACACGGCTTTAGACGGACGAAACCAAGATTTATGATAAGTGGGGACAAATATTTTAAGTTAATATAAAAAATTTTTTCATCGAAATACAAATTAATTTTAAAAATTACAAATAAAATTAGCACGTATGATATTTTTTATAAATGAAAAAAAATTGTTTTGCAATATAAATAATATTTGCATAATTAATTATATGATTTTTGACAACTATAGCTTAAAAACTATTTAGATAAATTATTTATCATAATAGACACATATATATAGATATATTAATTTAATAAAATTTTGCTTAGAAAAATTCTTAAAAATAAATATAATATGCAAAAAAATGAAATAAAAATTAACATGTCTAATTTTATTATTTACTTTTAATATGTTTAGTTTTATCATTCACTTTTAATAAACAAATATATTTGATTTTTATTCATTATAATTTGAAAAATAAAAAATTATTATTTTCTCATTTATAATGAAAAGAATGAAGATGATTATTTATTTTATTACTTCATATTTTTTATGCTTTTTTTTGTGTTAAAAAGTGGTTAAATCATTTAAGTAGTGCAAGCTCCATATCTCTATAAGATCACCTTACATCAATCTAAATAAATTAGTATGAAAAATAAAAAATTTAATAATTTCAAACTCTCTAAAAATAATTTATTTTATTTTTTACAAACTCGAAAATATATAAATATATTTATTATAATGATATTGCTTAGCACTCAAAGTGTTAATGTTCAATTATTAGATAAATAATGAGAATTTTTATGTATGAACCTTAATTTAATGGAGACAAATAGGATCACAAAGATTTTTTATAGGGGCAAAATATTACATTTTCAAAACTTTTGATATTTTTTATAATAAACCCAAAAGATTTTATGAACTCAGTGGGGTAGCTGCCCCACATTCTTATACGTAGATCCGTCCCCGGCTCTAGAGCTGGATCATTTTTAAGATATTTAGCTCGGTTTTAAACTTGAGGTTCTCAGATTTAATGAGCTAATATAGCATTTTTTTAATTATTATTTTTATTTGCGGTAAAGATTTATGATTTTTTCTTTTAAAAGTATAAAAATTATGAACAATTTTATTAATAAAATATTTTTAATAATTTAAAATATGATATGAATATAATATAAAAATAAAATATTAAAATAATATGATTTAAAATTAAAATAATAATTATATATAATAATTAAATATAATTTAATAAAATAAAAAATTATATTTTAATTTTATATCAATAAAAATTATAAAACATAATTTTTTATAAAATATTATATGAATATTTAAATTTTCATATTTTATATTATATAAATACGAGATTTAATCGTAATATTATAATGTATAAAGAAGTAATCGATAATTTTATCAATGAAAGAGAGCGGCGCAATGTTACGTCGCTTTCATTTTTTTGTTTGTACGTGTGTGTGTTTTTTTTTTTAATTTTAAAAGAAAAAATAAATTTAATTTTTTAAAATATGAAACAGCATTTTCTCCATCTCCCTCCCAAAATCAGTCCGAGTCCCACTACATTTTCTCTTTTTCTTCCTTTTCTTTTCTTCGTCACTGCCTTCCCTTTCTCTTTTTCACATGATCAGCATTTCCTTTGCTCTCCCAATCCTTCCAAAATCACTTCTTAATTTCACAGTTTAAAGTTGTTTTTAACTTCTTTTCTTTGGAAAATACCGAAATTTAGAAACCTGGAAGATCTGGAGCCTTTACCGACTATCACCGGCAACGGCCAGATCCGGTACCGAACACCATCCTCAGCCGAGCTCCTTGAGACTGGTTCAAACGGAGCCTCAATATCCCCGACTGGAAACGGCACCACGGATCACCTCGAAAAGATTATGAAGAGTTCAATGGCGAGGCACGAGTCCATCTCCGACAAGATCCACAAGTACCGAGGCATTTTGCTGCTGATCCCCATCCCTATCGTGCTTATAACGTTCGTATTGTACGTGATGCCGGGGAAATCCGCGTCGGATGCGGCCGTGCTGGAGGAGGTCGAGATAAATAACAGGAAATTAGGGGCGAATTCAAGAGGGAATAGGAATTATGCCGTGATTTTCGATGCGGGTAGTTCCGGTAGTCGAGTTCATGTTTATTGTTTTGATCAGAATTTGGATCTCGTTCCAATTGGCTCAGAATTAGAGCTTTTTGAACAGGTAAATTCTTTTTTTAAAATTTTTTTAGTAATTTTGCTAGACGAGAAAATTGTATTTGCTTGGAATGTGCTTTAAAAATGATAATTTGAGTAGTAACATAATTGTATTTTATCAATAGATTTCCGTGGAATTAGAGGTCTTTGAACTGCTAATGTATTTTTTTTTATGTTTTTTAATAACTTTTTTAGTAATTTTTTAGAAGCAAAAATTATTATCTTTTAGAATGTGAATTAATGAATTTTGTTTTCTTTTTCACAAATTTTTTGTTGTATTGTGGCCATTAATTTAATCTTTTAAGCATGAATTTATTTGAATTTTTTTAAGTAGGATTTAATTTTATAATTTTTTTACTTTTTTGTTTAATTTTAGAAGCCAAATATTTAAATTTGGGATTTCGAGAGAGAAATGAAACTTTGAAATGATAATTCAATTGCTAATTTAATATTCCAGTAATTTTGCTTTTCTTTTTTATGTTAGTGGATTTTATTTGATATTTTTTGTTATGTGTTTTTCTTTTTCAATTTTTGTTGATTTTTAGACGTGAACATTAGATTGTTAGGAATGTGAATTCGAGGATATGGTTGTTTAAAATCTGGAATTTAACTGATAAATGTAGCAGTAAAATGATCATTTGTGTCGTAATTTTTCCTTTTAGCTCTTTTAAAAGAAAAATTATATTAGTAGTCTTTATTTGATATTTGTGGCACATTTTGTTTCAAATATTATAAAGTAGGATTTGACTTTCTATGCTCTAAAAGAAAATTTTACTTGAATTTGAATGAAAAGAGAAGTTTCTAGCATCAATTGGTTTATATTTTTCAAGGTGTCCTTTTATTTGTATGCTCTGGAAGAAATTTTTTCTTGAATTTTTTGCGACTGTATTCCATGTATTAATTGGTTTTATGTGGTTGGTTTTGTTGTAGCTCAAACCAGGTTTGAGCTACTATGCAAACGACCCACAGGCTGCAGCAAATTCATTACGTCCTCTTCTTGACAAGGCACAAACTGTTGTGCCACTAGATTTGCGACGAAAGACTCCTGTCAGAGTTGGGGTAGGTATACATGGATGCAATTGTGAATGCTTATTTTTGAATTATGAGTCTCTGAAATTGCTGAAACACAGGACTTTGAATGTTTTGTAGGCAACTGCTGGTCTAAGGGCATTAGAAGGTGGTGCATCTGATAGAATTTTGCAAGCGGTAATTTTGTTTTTGGAAGCATGTGGGTTATGTTTGCAGGCTTTATGTCGCCATTTCCTCTTGCTAACTTTTTTTTAAAAAACTTGTTTAGGTTAGGGAACTTCTGAAAGATAGAAGCACCCTCAAATTTGAGGCAAATGGGGTCAGAATTCTGGATGGCTCTCAAGAAGGTTCTTATGAGTGGGTATGTTATGCTGAATTTCATGTACTTTGATACTGTGCTTTTATCTTGGGCCTAAAGTGATTTCCCTATACTAGCTTGGTTATAGGAAAAATATGTCAAGCCAGCAGCATAATGCATTTTATTGCATGCTTGATCAAGCTTTTATTTGTTGTGGTAGATTGTCTTCAAATTTTACATTATTCCTAAGATCCTCTTCCTTAAGGACACCCTAAATACTGTAACTGGTCAGCATGATCAGTTGTACTCAAGATGATTACATGGTAATGGTCAATTCAAAGGGGAATCCTTGGGGTCTTAATGAAGGGAAATACTGTAAAGTTATAAATAGATAGATTTTTCCATAGAAGCAAGTATTTACATTTTGCAATGAAGTTAAGCTTTGCTGCATTTATAAGGAGTAATGTACTGTAAAAAAAAAAAATTCAGGATCTGTTGTAAATGTCCTACTTTTTGGGCCAGTGGACCTATTTTGGATATTTCTTAACTCTCATCTTGTTTTGCGGGTGACAATAAATTACCTATTAGGGAATTTGGGAAGGACATACGGAAACACAGTTGGCATAGTTGATCTTGGTGGTGGATCTGTTCAAATGGCATATGCCATCTCTGAGAATGCTGCTTCAAAGGCTCCAAGTCCACCAGCTGGAGAGGACAATTATGTAAATGAAATGTATCTGAAGGGATCAAAATATCACCTCTATGTTCACAGGTTTCCCTCTTTCATTTTGACATATTGGTTTTATGATTCTATTAGTGATTTGAAATGGATAACAATGCGGAAGGTTATGGCTTGTTATGCTTACAGCAGTTAATTGTATCATACGTGTCTTTATTCAGTCACTTATATAGCTCTGTAGTCTCATGAAAATCCATTTATATTCGTAATTATGTGTTTTAGTTATATGCACACTTTTGGCTTTTGCATACAGTTATTTGCACTATGGCTTACTGGCAGCTCGAGCAGAAATTTTGAAGGTCTCTGAAGATTCTGGCAACCCTTGCATCTTGGAGGGTTTTGATGGTATGTATGAATTTGTTCGTTAGCAATTTTTAACTCTTCAATGCGCTTTTCTTTTAATTATTTGGGCTGCATACAGAGTCAGTAGCTAATGTTTTTTAATCTTTGATCACCGAAAATAAGCTACCTACTGAAAATTGTGGTTTATCTATCTGTACTTAACATTTGAATGCTCTCAATGATGGAATAATTTTAGTATTTATAATGTTCTTTGCCCTGTTTCTGGCTTGCAGAATGTGCCATTTAACATATTCTGTGTTTTATCTTTCTAAGGTACTTACAAATATGGAGGAAAAGAATATAAAGCATCAGCTCCTTCATCGGGCACAAGCATGGAAGAATGCAGGAGGTTGGCTCTCAAGGCTCTTAAAGTAAATGATACATGTAAACATATGAAGTGCACATTTGGTGGTGTGTGGAACGGTGGAGGTGGAGACGGACAGAAGAATCTATTTGTTGCTTCATTTTTCTTCGACAGGGCTGCCCAGGTATTGCTCATCAAGAACTGTGTTGCCTGAAATAAACAACCGGGAAACTTATCAGCCACTCTAACTAAATTGTTTATGAATACAGGCTGGTTTTATTAAAGCCACTGATCCTATCGCAAAAGTTCAGCCTCATTCTTTTGGAGATGCTGCTAAACGTGCTTGTGAAACCAAGTATGCAGATGCTAGAGCAACTTACGCAGATTTGGATGAAAGTAACCTGGCATATATATGCATGGATCTAGTTTACGAGTACACCCTGCTTGTTGATGGATTTGGTAAGTTTATTGTTAGTCGTTGATTCAGTTATGCAGTTCCATAGTTGCAGATCCTATTAAAAAAGACATCTTAGGATTCTCATCGTCCCACCTTATCTTTTCATGGACAGGCCTTGATCCCTACCAAGATATTACATTGGTGAAGCAAGTGAAATACCGCAATTCCCTTGTTGAAGCCGCTTGGCCATTAGGCAGTGCCATTGAGGCCGTATCATCATGAAGTAAAATTCCAACTCATGCACAGCTTTAATCACTCACCAGAAATTTCTATGGCTTGTGGTTCTTAAGTGTTGACACCCATCTCTGTCCAGTCAACTAAAGTTCGCTTTATTGTTATCATACTGTTATCATAATATATTATGTTATTTTGTATCATATTATTATATTATTATTTATTATTGTTTTTTTTTTTTTCTTTTTTTCCAATCTGTGATCGTGATTTCAGAAACGAAAATCTGAATCTAATCTCATAATCAAATGTTTTTAATATCAAATCAAGTCTGAATAACTGAAAAATTCAATCAAGATCAATCAGAATCTTAAAGTTATGCTTAGGCAGAATTTAATCTCAGAATTCAAGTTTTTATTAATTTTGTTCATTTTCTAAAAATTTGTCCTTAAGGTAGTTATAAATTAGATATTCTTAAGAGAACATGAATAGAATAGATTCGGGACACGGTGAAAATGGGGGAAAATTTTGGTCGTTGCAATTCTAAGAAATTTTTTGAGATTTTGATTTTGAGAATTTTAGGTTTGATTTAAAGTTTTTCGATTAGATTTAGATTTTTAAGGTTTGGATTAGGATTCTGAAGAGTTTTTAAAGAAATTTAGGCATATATATGAAAAATTTGAGATTTTTTTAAAAAAATATAAGTTTGGGATGAATTTTTTGATGGGAAATGATTTTTTTTAGTTAAATTTTTTAACGGGGATTGAATTTTTTTTTTAGATTTAGGTGATTTTTTTAAAAATTGATGGATTTTTCAATTTTCAATGAAACATTTCAACGATTTTTTTTAAAAATCAATGAGTTTTTTCAGTTTTTGGTAGAATATTTTTGGGTTGTTATCGGGGTTTTAGAAAAAATGTAGAGGATTTTAGAAACCAGAGAGAGTGTGGCTTGGGAAATTTTGAAGAAAACGTAAAGGATTTAGTTTAGATACCACTCCAATACAACACCATTTTAAAAGTATTAGGATCCGCATGCGACCCATTGACTTTTGTGCCAACATGTGTTTCAACCAAACTCGCACGTTTTTTTTTTCATTTTTTTTATTTTATTTTTCTCAATTATTTATTTTATTATCTTAAGTTTTTATTTTCAATTTTTATTTAACTTTACTGGGTTTTATTTTTATAAAAAACAAATAAAAAAATATTTTTCAAGTAAATAAAATAAAAATATTTTTAAATATCATGAAATCCACCAAACTATTTAAAAATTTCATAAATTATTATTTAAAAAAATAATGATAAAAAAAATAAAAATAATTTTTTTCAAATAAAAATCCTTACAAATAAATTTATGAATTTTATCAAATTATTAAAAAAATTTTATAGATTTAATTTTTAAAATAGAATCCACCAAACTATTTAAAATTTTTAAAAATCATTTTTTTCAAAAAAATTAATAATAAAAATAATTTTTATCTTTCAAACTATTAGAGAATTGCTTCTCAAATTAAATCTTATCAAACTATTAAAAGATTTAATAAATTTTTTCAAAAAAAATAAATTTTTATAAATTTTTTATAATAAAATATTACTAAATTATTGAGAGATCTACTTCAAAGTAAGTCTTATCAAATTATGAGAAACTTTATTGATTTTTTTCGAATAAAAAATTTTAATAAATTCGACGATGAAACCTATGTAAAGTGAAACAATAGTCCTTATGAATACTCTTGATATAAGAGAATTATCTTAAATTATTACTAAATTATTGAGATAATTTTAAGATTAATTTTTAATATTTAATATTTTAACAAAATATAAATATTTTTAAGGCTTATATAATTTGTAATCAAATTGGTATAATTCTTTGGATGTGTACTATGGAGATATTATAATTTTTTTCATTCAAAATCATATTTTTGAATCTAAACTTTAATTTCGTATATCTGAATATATTATTTAAAAAAATTTAAATCAATTTTAAGATTTCTCTTTAAATAAGATATATTTAATCAAGTGATCAATCAAATTTAAATAAAAAAAATTAATGATGACTTTATTAATTCATATATAATAATAAATTTACAAACCTGACATTAAATATCAACAAATTTTAACTGAATCTACAGTCCATAACACGCAGAAGTAAGCAGAATGTTCATGCCCGAAATCAGATTTTCGAGGTAACAAACGAAGAGAGAGGAGTTTCATTGATCTTCATTTATAATTACACTATTACTAGTTGTCCTGATTTTTATAATTTTTATGAGAGATTAATTCGTTCATTTAGTTTGTCTTACCGAACAAACAGATTACCATACCAATGTGTTTGTGACCTTAATATTTTTGGTTAGGGAAAAAAACAATTTTCTTTAAAATTTCATCTCTTTCCACTCTTTCCGGACCCCTTTGGTCTTCATTCGAGTTGCGTATCATACACCATGTGGAGAGAAAACAGAAAATTTGAAAAATCAAATCTAACTTAAATGCTATTATAGCTAGCCCGATCAAAGGAAAGCGGAGATCGACTGGCAAATGTTATTAAAAAATATATATGTTTTGTGCAAAAAGGGGAAAAAAACTTGAAGGAGTTAATAGTAATAAAAAGATAATTAAATGGGAAGATAGATAATAAAACCTTTTTTTTTAAAGAAACAATAGGTGATAAAGCTTGAGTAATTTTATTTTGAAAGAAAAAAACTTGGATTGGCTACTTTAATCACGTGCGGGAATATCACGGGCTGTTTGGGGGGTTGGGAGATGGGTGGATTATTTCCCTCCTCGGTCCTGAGTCCTCACCTGAGAATATGTAAAGCACGGAAAGAAAAAGGAACATGGCGGGCTTTGAAAAAGACGGAGGCCGGATTCAAAGCAAGAGAATTTTATTTCACTTCCAGAGTTAAATTGTTGAAACAGTTAGTAGAAAAGTATTGCTTTCGTGTAAAATTCGCTCACTCAGTAGTTTTCTTCGGTCAGTCATTCTCCCAAACACTTTCTACGCAATCTAAAAATGTGGAGAATCAGGTTTGCAAGATCAAAGCGATATGCTTTTTCAGTTTTTGCAAATATCCATTATTTAAAACCAACCCATTTTTTAAATCCCATCTTTGAAACATTTAAAACAACAGCAAAAACAATAACTATCACCAACCCCTTGAATTTTTGCTTCCCATTTCAGTTATCTTCTTTTTGTACTTCAAATATTGATTGCCCAAGTGAACCAAAAGTTGAAACTTTTGATGAAAATATTGATAATGATGATGGTGAGGGTAGTGAGGATTTCGATAGCAATAGTGTAAATGGATTGAGTTTAAACCATAAGGATAGTATTCAGGATGCGAAAGGAATTATGGACATAATCCATGAAACAGGTAGTAATTATGTTGAAATGAAAACTAAGCTGGAGCTATCTGGTCGAAGGGTTTTCTCTGAGTTGGTGGTGGAGGTTCTTTCTCGGGTTCGGAATGATTGGAAATGGCGATTACGTTCTTTTTATGGGCTGGAAAGCAGCTGGGTTATGCTCATTCATTGCCTGAATATCATTTGATGATTTCTATTCTAGGGAAGATGAGGAAATTTGATACTGCAGAGGCGTTGATTGATGAAATTAGAGGAGGGCGAGCAGGCCCATGTCTTGTGACACCACAGACTCTCTTGATAATGATAAGGCTTTACTGTGCTGTGCATGATGTGGGAAGGGCTATGAGTACTTGCATATAAAAAAGTTTAAAATTGATGTGGGAATTGAGGAGTTCCAGAGTTTATTGTCTGCCCTTTGTTGATGCAAAAATGTGCAGGATGCTGAGCATCTGATGTTTTTCAACAAGGATGTCTTCCCGTATAATACCAAAAGTTTTAATATTATACTAAGAGTTTAAATATTATACTGAACGGATGGTGTAATGTGATTGGTAGTCCATGTGAGCCATAGAGGGTTTGGAGGGAATTGAGCAAGGGAGGTGTTCCACATGATGTTGTGTTGTATGCAAGTGTCATGTCCTGGTACTCAAATGTCTATAATCTTAACAAGGTACTTAAGCTTTTCACCCAGATGAAATTAATGGGGATTGAACCTGATAGGAAGGTTTACAATGCGGTAATCCATGCTCTTACAAAGGCTAGGCACGTAAAAGAGGATATCAATCTTCTCAAAACTATGGAAGAAAAGGGTATTGCTCCAAATGTTGTTGCTTATAATTCAATGATCAAGCCTCTATGGAGATCCTGGAAGATGGATGAGGCTTGACAAGTCTCGACGACAAGTTGCAGAAGAATCTCTCACCTACAGTTCAAACTTACCATGCTTTCCTTCGTATTCTGAGAAATGGGGAAGAAGTGTTTGAGCTCTTGGAGAAGATGAGAAAGATGGGCTGTCGACCAACCAATGATACCTATATCATGCTGATAAAAAAGTTTAGTCAATGGTGCCAGTTTGATAATGTCTTTAAGTTGTGGAATGAGATGACTGAAAAGGGTGTTGGTCCTGGCCGTAGCTCATCTATTGTGTTGATTGATGGGTTATTTTTAATTGGAAAGCTGGATGAAGCATATGAATAGTATATAAAGGAAAAACAGTTACTGCCAGAACCAAAGATAGATGAGATGCTTCAGTATTGGGTTTCTGGTAAGCAGTTTGCAGAGAGAAAAATTGACTGATCTGAAGAATAATCAATTGCTAGATAATCAGTTGGACAACCAGATTGGAGTTGAATCGAAAAAATTTGATCTGGAGAAAGATTTACTAAAGCAACCTGAAACCAGAAGAATTGTCGGAGAAAGAGTTTTTTCTTTTTGGGAGCAATAGGTTTGCTGATACCATAAAACTCCATAATATGTTCTTTGTGTATGGGACTCTAGGCTTCAACACTGAGTTCACTTTGGATACCATCCATTGCATGACATTCTCCATCACCAACAGCAAGAAGGGATGCCTCATTGCCTTGCAACTATTTGATAATACAGTCTAATATTATGGTTGAGAACACTCATTTTGAATCATGAATAACCGACTGCAATCATGCATTGATTTCAAAGTAATTGGGTGTTGCCCCATGAATGGCATCTGTACATCTACATGAAATGCACATGATATCCTTTTGTGGATGGTAAGATGTTATTATTCTGCTGCTTACCACAACTGCTTCTG